CTGCTGAAAATGGTTTTTGCTAGCTGAGATATTAGAGAAGAACGTGTTGCTTGGCTAAATGGCGGTTTCTAGCTGATAACTTGAAGGGGAACATGTGGCTGGACAAAATGATGATTGCTAGTTGACATCTTGTAGAAGCACGTGTTGTTGGTCGAAATGGCGATTGTTGGGTGATTTATTATTACAGGAAAACATATTTTCGGACAAAATAGCATGGGCTAACTGACACATTGTAGTTTGAAGCACATTCGCATAAGAAAAAAGAGTAGATGATGGGACACACGCTAAATAAGTAATTAAATTTGAAAAGTTGAAAGAGAACAATAATAGTACGGTATGTAGGCTAGGAGAGGTTCACTGTACTACCGGTTATGTCTATTTGAAGGTTGACCTTAGTCTACACTGGTAAAAATTTACTTGTGAGCAATGCTGTTTACTTTACAATCATATTTTTTTTTGTTAAGTGAGAGAAAGAAAGCAAAATCCTCATTTCTGGAAACTGAACGCCATAAAGTTCACTTATGATAGTCAGTTCTACGTCCCAGATTTGGAAATATTTATCGTATTTTGGCGACACTGGCTAATTAAAATTTTCGTAATCATCTCCACGCCAATACTTTGACTACCCTAAAAATTATTGAAGCTGATCTTCTGGCGACAATTAATCATGTAGTCCTCAGCAGATGACGTCAAAACCTTTGACGCAGCCGATAAGAGGTGCGAAAGCTCGATAGTAGCATCGACGCGTGTATTTTCTTATAGCGCGTTCTTTTCCTTAATAAGTCTATCCTGGTGGCATGTTGTTAATGTTGTGGAAAGTGAAGTTACCAATAGAAAAAGAATCGTGTTTTATTTTCAGTTCCAATTAAAAAAAAATATGAGCGTAACTCTGCACGTTTAGCGAATGCACATGCTATATAGATCGACCACCTCGGTAGTACGGAAGTTACGGAACTTGGTTGCTGACCCTAAAGTCGTATCTTCGATCCTAGCCGTGATAGACGTGTTTAAATGGAGGGGAAACGCTAGAGGCGTGTGCACTGCGCGACGTCTATTAACGTTAAAGAACACCAAGTGGCCAAATTTCCGAAGCCCACCACTACGGCGTGCCTCAGTTGGAAGCATAATAGGCAAAATGATGGAACCCTCGTCAAGTGTGCAAATGTCGTGGCCTGTCAGTATAGGGGACTACAGTCTCGGTTGGGGACGGCTAGCGATACTTAGATAACCAAACAATGGCCAACAAGACTCCGTGGGCTCCACGCTAAGGTCATCCTGCGTGACAGACTCAACGTTCCTGGAATAATGCACGAGATAGAGGACAAGTGGTCATCAAGTTTTCCATCTGAGCTGTCGAGTAAATAAATAAATAAATAAATAAATAAATAAACTAAGTAAATAAAATAATAAATAAGTCATGAACTTCAGAATTTCAATCAATCAATCATAGAATTTATACAGCGTTGGAGTACTTGCTCTGGAAAGCAGCTTTTCTGAATGTTGTGACGCTTGACGCGAGGAGCTCACGACAATAATGTGATCTTCTCTATTTCATCTGCGCAGGTCATCCTCAGCGTTACCTTCACAACCGTGTTCGGAGCAGGTAAGAGAACTTGTGTCATTTGTTCAGTAATAAACAACTCTAGTGTTTGTCTTCTTTTGTCTGGCATAACGGTATTGTCCAGTCTTTTCTGTGGCGGCGAGACAAGTCATTGGTAGTCCCATATTCGCAGGCATGCACAGGACATCCCATCTGTTCGTGTGTGTGGGAGGTAAAAGGGTGAAAATGAAGCTATGACGTGTTTTTCGCAAAGGTCTTTGATACCTTTGATGCCTGGACTTCCGGGAGTAAAAATTGGAAGTAAACAGTTCTTGAAATGCAACACTACGGACCTTCGGCCATCATTATAATCAGAAACCTGCGTGGCAGTTACCCTACTCAACGAGGTTGCTTGGTAGGCGAGTTGGAACAAGTCAGTCACTTGTGTGTTCCTCTCAATTGGTCCCAGTGATTGGTTGCTAGAGCGTAGCAGTTGCAAAATGGCGTCCGTCGTGTCGTGTGATACTACGAAGGTGACCCATACAGAGGTCTCATACTAACTAGCCCACTGATAAAGAATAGGTAGTGATTGGTAGTCTGTGTCCAGGCTCGTTGTAGAGCTTTACGGTTAGCGAAGCAGTCAATCACTATCGATGTAATTATGAGAACACCTGCGGACTGTCAAAAAAAAATTTGCGCAGAACCAAATTAACATGCACACTTTGTTCACGAAGAGGCAGCAAGCCCACATGTTATATAATAGCGTGTTGTTGGAGGTTGTTTTACCCAAATAATAAAAACAACAACTGGAAAAGCTACGCATCAGTGGTGCGAGAGCTTTCTTTCTTGAATACTCGGTGCTGGCCCCTTTACAATGAAGAAAGCTACGTTACGCTGATCACGGGCATGTCGTTCGTGGTCTGAAAGTGTCGGACGCGCGGGGATAGTGCAAGGGCTGGGGCGCAATTAAATAACATGGAAACCGGGGCAATAAATATGTAGTAGAGAGAGAAAGGGGAGAAAAGGAGAGGGCTGCACGAGATATTAGGTTACGTAGCCACTACACACTTTAAGTGAAGCCCTTCCCATGTCTCACCATAGGTAAGTGCATAAAATGATGTCTGGTGAGGATGCCGGGAACACCGATATCGATCTGCAGAATTAAGTCTGTGCGCTGATTGTGAAATAGATCTTACCTTCGCCGTACGTGTTTCAACACATGGTGACTATATTGGTCGGATCAACAAAACAAAGCTTGATACTAGTCATTTATGTATAGCTCATTGTCCTACTTTATAAGAAAACTATAAAAAAATGTGGGACGAAGATGGTCCTGTGAGACCCGCCGGCTACTAACGAAAGGTTCGCGGGCCACCTGTTTTAGACCCACTACCTTCCCTTTCCCCTGTTCTTTTCGCTCTTTCTTCCTTCTCTATGCCACCCTTTTGTTATATACAATATTGTGCTTCCTTGGCGGGCATTGCGTACCCGCCACCATGGTCTAGTGCTTATGGCGCTTGAATGCTGCCTTGAAGGCCACCGAATCAAATCCCACTTGAAGTAGCCGTACTTTTCTATGTAGGAAAAAATGCTTCGGCCAATAATGATAATATGCTAGGTGTAGCGTATCGAAACCACTATATGATTTTGAGAGACTCCACAGTGGAGGGCTCCGAAAATCTTGTCCATCTGGTGTTGTTCAACGTGCCCGGGCCTCTGCCATTTCACCACCATCGAAGTGTGACTGCCAGGACAGGGAATGAACCCGCGACCTTCGGGTATGCAGCCAAGAACTCTATAGCCACTGACTTACCAAGGAGGACGGTTGATGCCAACGGCTTTAAATTTAGGCGCACGTTAACGAACCCCACGTCATCGAGATTTTCGAATCGCTCCACTATACGCCGTCTCTTATGCTGAAAACGCGGTTTTGGGACGTTAAACTTTATGAGATGACGTGACGAAATCTTTGTATATATCCCGAGTCACTCAGATATAGAGAGCTAAAAGACCCTCGAGATGAAGTTGGAGTCTCCACCCCGACAGTAAGGAGCTGAATGAGTGAAACAACTCTATTTCGAAATCTGGCTAGTTTCTGGTGAGGGCCACACCATTCGGATGTAGGATAGAAAACCTTGTCTCTCAGTAGCCTCCCTGGCCTGTTGAATAGCGCAGCTTAAACGAATACTAGCACGACGAAAACAGGGACGGGAAAGAAAAGACGAACTACAGCGCCGTATTTTGTCTGTTCTTTTCCGTCCCTGTTTTCGTCGCGCTAATATCCGTTGAAGATGGAAGTGCACCGACTCGCCCAATTGTCCCTCTTGATGGGGAAGCCCAGGTTTGATCTTCTGAATTGGAGCTGAGCAGCGTTGTAAACCATCGCTCCCAGACGGTTTTGGTCATTTTAAACTTTTCCGTAGGGCCGGGTAGTGAAAATATCATCACCATGATCAACCTATACGCGCTCGCTCCGTCCTCTTCAGCTTTCCATAACACGTACGCCAGCTTGTCTATCGAGGAAGGTAATACCTAAGGTGGGCGAGCTGGTTATGGGACAGAAAATCCCTAACCATCACGTAACACTCACGTGACAAAATATCACTGAATATCCCGCAGCAACTATCAGGATGAAAAATCCCTGAACATCACTTACCACTTAGACACGTGACAAAAATTTCGCACGGCGTAACTACTTACTCGACTAATACTATGCAACATCGCGTAACGTAGCATGTTGTCAGTAATCTCGTAACAGGTAAGTCAAGCGGAGTTTATTTCCCTTTCACACAAAAAGGGGAAGCCGATGCTAAAGGCTGGAGTGCCTGACAATGGCCTCGGCTCCCTTTGCAGCCTGACACCAATAAAAGCAAACAAATAATGGCAGAGTTAGCTGCATTTGCCAGTGTGACAAGATGCTGCTGTTAACCATGCAGCGTAGACACGATTCAAAGCATTTTAAATACAGAAACTGATAAAAAATACAGGTTTATAAGAAGCACATATCAAATTAGAGTACATTTTTCTTTGTTTACATTTTGAATAATTTCAACGCCATATCAAAATCAACATTTGTCGAAATTTTATTAATTGCCACGGCACTGAAACCACGCCACATCACGTACTTACTAGTCACGTTGCTACAATCACATACCATCTAGTAGAGTCGGCGACGCTGTGGTTGAAAAGCCCGACTCTTTTTGTAGCTGATAGAGAAGCCGTAGGTTTGATTTTAAAATAATAATACCATTGTTTGACTTTTCTTTGTCATCTGTGTTTTGTTTACGTATTTCACGCGTTTTATGCTGGCATGAGCGCAGGCCCTGAATTTGGCTGACGTATTTCCGCGACGCACTTCGCGGAGATACGTCAAAAACACGCTTATGCTAGCATAAGCTCTGCCATAGTTCTCTGTCAGCTTAATGTTTGTGTAATATTTCGCGCTGATTAACTTCGCAACATGCTACACTTGCCTGCCTGCCCTAAAACGTCTAATTCCGCTGTTCCCGACTTGTACGCAGCACTACAACTCGGCCTTGGCTATCCTTACTACGGTTTCGGCTACGGCATGCCTTACTACGGCATGGGATACGGTATGGGTATGCCTTACTACGGCATGGGCTACGGCATGGGCTACGGCATGGGCTACGGCATGGGCTACGGCATGGGTATGCCTTGGTACGGAATGGGCCTCGGATTTGGAATCGACTACGACTACTACGGCATGGGTGAGTCCGAAAGCAAAGTGCCCTAGACTGCGAGTGGACACCGTGCGGCCAAGCGCAAGCGATGTTGAACGTGGCAGGTAGATTAAAAAAAAAAACCCTGCGACACCTAATTTAAGTCACTATCGAATGACTGCATTCATGGAGTTTACTGTCTCACGAAATTACTGCCGCAAAAAAATTTTCAGAGTGCGCCAATTCCAAGCGCTCTTGCACAGATTTGTCGCAAGCTTCAAGTGTTGTCTTTCTCCTTTAGTACTGGCTAGCGAGCTGAGAGCTATGCAGTGAAAAGGTGACAAGTGCTTAAGAAACTAATCGCGTTATTCAACGCACAAAATGACCACAAGCTTCGCCTTTACTTTTTTCATCTTCGAAGGTGCAGCTGGCTTTCAGTGTTATCGGTAGTAAGTGCGCCGTTATGTTGCGCCATCTCGCGCAGGCCGCGTTAACTATGCATCTCATGGTGCTCAAATCAGCCAATGTCCGTGGATTTCCAGTTTATGGCGCGGTTATTAGAACTTAAGATATCGCTCGTCGAGAGAAGAGAAAGCTATTTAGCTGTCTTTGAGAAGGAATCTTATATTCGAGGCCGCGTGCTGCGCTATAAAGTTTGACTCACTTGTTCTCAGATGCCTCCACTACTGATCGGCGGCGTTCCTTAGTCATGCTAAAAAGAGTTGCAGAGTTCCTTTTAGTAAACATGGTAGCGAACAGATCGAAACACAATGTGCTGTAGATGTTTTATGAACGGGAGTGAAGTGCGTTGGCTGGCGGACATTTTGATAGGTGGACTTATTTTTCCCAGGTGATTTGTGATCCCTCACTTGTTGGTATTAAAGTGTTTAGTCATTGACGTCAAGACATGCGACGTCACTATCAGTACTTGCCCTTCACAAAAGCGACACCGTGCACATGTGTTCCCGACGTCAACGACTAAACTGTTGAATCACGTCAAGGTGCCTTAGTCAAACGCAGATTCGCCTATCGAGGCATCCATCAGACTGTCTAAGGCACTTGTACTCGTTCGTAAAACCTCTACGTAATACAGATTTTGTGTAGTATTGTTATCATCGTCGTCATCATAAGCCTGACTACGCACACTGTAGGAAAAAGGCCTCTACCATGTTCCGCCCGTCAACTCCGTCCTGTGCTTGCTGCTTCCACTTTATACCAGCAAACTTTTTAATCTCATCTGCTCACATAACTTTCTATTTTCCCCTCACCAGCGTGCTTTCTTTGGGAAGGAAGTAAGTTACCCTTAATTACCAGTGGTTATCCTGCCCACGTGCTACGTGCCTGGCCCATGTTCATTTATTCTTCTTAATTCCAACTATGATATCCTTAAACCCGGTTTGATCCCCGACCGACTCTGCTCTCTTTTTGTCTCTTAAGGTTACATTCATAATTTTCTTTTCCATTGCTCGCTGCATTGTCCTCAATTTAAGCTGAACCCTCTTTGTAGGCCTTCAAGCATGTGCTCTGGAGGTACTTACCGGCAAGATGTAGCTATTGTATACCTTCTTTTTGAGGGATAGTGGCAATCCACCAGTAATCATTTGAGAATGCTTGCCGAATGTGCTCCACCCCATTCTTATCCTTCTATTTATTTGAATCTCGTGGTTCGGCTCCTCGGTTACCACCTGTCCTAAGTAGAGGTACTTTACAACCTCAAGTGCGCTACTACCTATCTCGAAGCGTCGTTGTCTTACGAAGTAGTTGTACATTACATTTGTTTTATGCAGAATAATTTCAAGACCTACCTTTCGACTTTCCTTGCCTAATTAAGCAATCGCGAGATGCAATTCCTCCCCTGAGTTACTCAGCAAAGCAATGTCATCAGCGAAGCGCAGATTACTAAAGTACTCTTCATTAATTCTTATGCCTAAGTCTTCCAATTCTAGACCTCTCAAAACCTCCTGTCAACATGTGGTAAATAGCGTTGGGACGATGGTATCCCCTTATCTTACACCCTTATTTATTGTTATTCTGTCACTTTGGTTATATAGAACTACGGAGGTAGTTTTTTTCTCTGTAGATTTCTTTTAGGGCGTTTATATATGCCTCGTCAGCGTCCCGATGCCGCAGTGTCTGCATTACTGCTAATACCTCTACTGAATCAAACGCCTTCTCGTAATCTATGAAGCCTATGTATAGTAGTTGGCTATAATCTGAATATCGCTCTATTACCTGATTGATAGTAGTATGAATGTGGTCGATTGTTGAGTAGCCTGTTCGAAATACTGCTTGATCCGTCGGTTAATTGCGTTCTAATGTCCCCCCGAATTCGTTAGCAATTACCTTTGTAAATAGCTTGTATACGACAGAGAGGAAGCTGATCGGCCTGTAGTTCTTCAAGTGTTTGTCGTCCCCGTTCTTATCGATTGAGATAATATTAGCATTCTTCCGAGATTCTAGTACCCTCCACGTCAAAAAACACTTCGTAAACAGCGTGGCCAGTTTTTCTAACGCAATATGTCCTCCACCTTTCAGCAGATCTGATGTTACCTGATCCTCACCAGCAGCTTTGCCTCTTTGTATGCTCTCCAAGGCTTTTCTGATTTCTTTGCTCATTACTGGTGGGATGTCATTTGAGTTACTGTTAGTTCTAGATTATGGTCGTGTGATCACGGCTACTCTACAGATCTCTGTACACTCCTCCGCTATTTTAACTATCCTATTCATATTGGTAGTTACTTCACTTTCCTTGTCATTTAGTGCATGTATCTGGTTTGTGCCTATCCCAGGTTTTCTCTTCACTGCTTTGATGCTTCCTCCGTTCTTTATAGCACGTTCGATTCTCTCCATGCTGTACTTTCTTATATCGCATACCTTACACTTATTAATCAATTCGAAAAGATCTAGTATTTTCATTTTGTTTGTTGTGTTTGAAGCCTAGATGTTTTGACTTATGAAGAGGTTCTCCTGGACAGACTGCTAGTGTCCTGTCTTACTACCGTACCTCTAATTGCCACTGAAAACGAGTGAACCGTAAGTGGACATAGAGGAGCTCTAATGGCAAAAGTAAGAACGAAGTAGGCTTTATACTGAGTGCACACTGAGGCTTCGACCAGGATGTGGAAGTGCTTGGAAAGGTACGTTGCAGGGATCTCCTGCAGGGAATTTTCCTGCAGGAGGTCGCAGAAGGTCTCTTGCAGGACGTTGCAGGGAATTCTCCTAGATTTATAGAAGAAACGGCGGAAACGAATACGCAAGAAGCCAATAAATGAGCTAGCGCTGAGAGGGAAACTACAAGAATTCAGTCTCATTTCAGCACAGACACTCAGCTCTTATCGAGAAAACCAGCCTCATAGCGTTTACGCAATGAATGATAATCTGGCGCGTATTATGTGCAGTGGGAATTGGAGTATTGCCTCTGCCATTATTTTCGGATTGGTTGCACCTCGAATATCTACTAGCGCAGGCCGACTTGGTCGGTACTCAACGTCGACGGGGGGGGGGGGGGGGTAGCTTACTGACGTCACTCATATAAATAAATCAATTATTAATTCATTCAATCAATCAAACTATTAACCAATCAATAGTCAATATCATTCATTCAATCAATCAATTAATCAGAACTATGAATTTTCTCCATACATACCTATGGTACAAAAGGATGAACAGGAAAAAAAAGTCAGTGTAGTTGCTCTCAGTACAACGACAAAGACCACATCACTTAGAATAGTGTGATTTAACAATACATAGCTTCTCAACTGCATATCGTATGACATAAAAATGAAAGTGTCATAAATAAATAAAAAGCAACAGTATATACCAACAGGAAATCACGATCTAGAGAAGTTTTACACAACATAAAAAAACTACAATAAGAGCAATAAACTATAAAAATTTTTGATATTTCTTCCTATCACTTGCTGTTAATAAGCTGCTGTATGTATTACAGCTACATTTACTTAGCACGCAACGCGCCTGAGAATTGAAAATTATCGTATTGAACTTAGGAGCTTAAAGAGATTTTCAGTATTTCTGGAAAGCCGGAGCCAGTTGATCTGCAGTGCCCCCTCTGGCGAGAATTTGATATTGGACACGGCCCGTGCGCACACATTTCAGAATTTTGTCGCTAGGTGACAGCAGTAACCGAACAGCAACACCGCTGTTGTTATATAAGCTTAAGGTAAAACAATGAGCAATGCTACGAAACAGGATATGCGGCAAAACTAAAATAATACTTCCGCAAGGTGCCTTAGGAGATTAGGTATTTTAGAATTTCCACGCTCTGATGGTAGACAACTTCTAGAAACCGTTCAACCTAGAGAAAGCTACAAAATTATATGTTTGTGAGTAAAGAGCACTCGAACAAGAATCTAACATGCTAGACTCGGAAAAAACATTTACGCTGGCGAAAACACTAGGACAATGGCCATCAAGAATAAACCGCAAAGTGATGGAAGTTATTTGAGGACACAAATATTTGTGATGAATTGAGGGAACTGTACTGAAAGTGTACGCCGCGACTTTGTGTTTGCTCTGTCCAAATGAAAATTTTTGAACTTACTGATGTAGGACTGTATATATGTATATATATTTTGTTATTTATTGTTTTTACACTGTGACAGCCAAAACAAAATGGGTCACCGTCACCAATCACTGGTGACAACTCCTTTATGTATTTTTCTCTTTCCCTAAAAGCTAGACTGGAATTAGCAGATCGAAGATGTATCGCAAGCGTGAAATTCCATATTGCGACATTGAAAACATCACCTGCAGTTTTACGCATCGCACAATTTTGATCGCCATCGCTGAGACAAATTATGAATGCCATTCATGCCGGCAGGATAAGTTCGATTTTAACGCAAAAAACCTGTATCATGTAATTTTCCCCAAAACATATACTAAGTATAACGCGCTACCTGTGCATGTAGTCATGTCTCATAACACCACACTTGTCATTGGCGAAATGAATGACAATTCGGGGCACAAAACGGAATCAACTCTGGATGTATAGGGTCGCTTGGAAGTCACTGGGAGAGGTTTTCGGCGTGAAGTGGGTATAAGATAAGCTGATTTAAATTATCATAATCGAAAAACTGTTGTATGAAATTGTTGCCCGCTTTTGCGCATGCATCTGTTTGTAAAACGAATTCGCATGTACACATCCTCCTGCTATGTATAGTTTTATTTTCGTTTCATAGCCTCCGCACGCTTTTAATTTTCGCGGAGAAGAACTTGTTTTGTGTTTGATACAATAAATTCCGTGTTCTCCATACTACATTGTGCTTCGCTATTCTGTACCATGTGTCCAGTATTTTTTTCCCAGTCTTATGCTATTAGCGGATTATCATCAAAAGTTTACAGACAATTGTACATTTCTGTCTGGCCCATGCGACGACCTTCAGTATGAAGGGAACAATATACGGGAAACTAGCCACAGTATACAGGAAACTATAATTTGAAATTGGCTTGGGCGTAGCCAGGAAGGAGGGCTCTTAAACTTCGGCGAAAATTTTAAGTTTTGCTTGTGTATGTATACATACACACACATACAAACGCACGTAAGGACACACGTAAAGTATGATTGAACCACCCTGACAAAACATTTCTGGCTACGCCCCTGGCAATGGGTATGTTGAACTGCCCAGGACTAATAGACTCCCGCAGCGTAATCAAAACGTTACATTTAAAATGACGTACGCGCTTTGAGCGTTTCGCGCCAAGTCAAGGAAAGTATCTTGTAAGCTACGGCTGCACGTTTGCTGAGAGCGTCTCCCTGTTGCGTCACTCTTCGCAGGTGGCTTGGGCATGTACGGCATGGGAATGTACGGCCTCGGCAAGAAGTGAGCGCTGCCAGGACACTCTGACGTCAGTGGCACGCACAGGTGACGTCACACACCAACATTGCGAAGTTCACGCAAGGAAAGGACCGCTCGCCAAGGACGACGCAACCAGTATAAAAAAGTGTGTCTTGCCAAATTCCCGAGTTTACTGGAATGGTTCCTTCATAGGTTAACTAGCTTCGCAACGAAGCATTTCGGATATGCAAGACAAGATCATCAGCATCATAATCCTCATAATCATTATCACGTTCATCATTAGCACAAACAACAACAAAAACAAAATCAACAACAGCGACATCTACTTCTATTAGTACAACGACAAGAACAGCAACTACTAACACTAGGATTACATAAATACCACTATAAATACATTTACTACTAATAATAATACAGATAGAACAACGGAAACCCCACTACGGTGTATATCATAATCAGATCGCGCATTTGGCGCATCAAATACCCAAATTCAGTTTTTCATCCGCAGCTGATACCAGCGTTTCCTCGCATCGGCTATTGCTCCGGTATATACACACACACACAAAAAAAAGAGGTAGAACAAGCCTACGACAGGCTGCAGGTATGCAACGACACGCAAGGCAAGTGTATTACTTGTGCTAGCAGGCTGAGCGAGAACGTTGGGAGGAGACGATCAGCGTTATCTGCCGCATAAACCATGAACGGAGGGTAGAACCTACCACCCCATCCGCACAATCTGGCTCTTAAAGGGCCACCTGCCAGGCTCATAGAAGACAAAGAAAAAATAGCGGAATATTCTTTCCTGACATTTCTCGTCCTTCTTGACGCACTAATGTGACGCAGACATTAGTTCCTATGACGTCTATAGTCATTATTGAAAATTTTGTTGAAGCGCACTAAAAAACTGACAGACTGAAAGGCTGACAAGGACTGTGCTTACCCTCACAACTGAAGGTTTATTATTAAAAAAAAGGGTATTTAAAGCGGATACATGGTATTTCGCGCATGTCATTTGTTATATTTTACAAGTACTAAATGTGTTGAGATGCGCGTACTCTTTATCATGCAGCTCAATCGTAGCTTGGCTAACACAGTCATGTCCCCACTTTCGGATGTGGCAAGATTCCACTGTCTCCCGCGTTAGCTGATCCTTGTGTCGGAATAATATTTCTGTTTCTATAAACACAGGATAACATCCGCAGTTTTTACAGTGATCTGCAAGATGACTGTTGTCTGATACCTTAACAGATGTTAACAGAGGCGTGATGTTCTCTAAGGCGGTCGTTCGCGCATCTTCCTGACTGGCCTTATGCAGACTTTTCCACAAGGGCGTCAAATATACTACTCCCTTTACGCACTTCACGAACTTGTTTCTGTGTTATGCGGATGTTTCTGTGTTAGCGGATGTTATCCTGTGTGTAAAGAAACAGAAATATTATTTCTGTTTTTTTAAACAAAGGGCGCTTGCGAAAGTCGCAAGATTCCTTGGAATGGTGCCATTCACAGGCGCGCGAACGAGCGCCAGTTCGTTCGTTGCGTCTCGCATCGGAACTTCGCGTTCTGCTAGTTTAGCGTCGCTTGCCCAGTGACCCTATCATGTAATAAGAGAGACGGGTGCATAGCGTTCCATTACGACTCTGTAATTTGCTTCAGAGGGAGCGTGGCTACTACGGCGGGATAGATGGACAAGGCTCGAGCCCAAGAAGCAAGCTCCTAAAAAAATTGGCAGATGCCATGCACAGTGGGTATGGATGACATGCGAAGCACGAATGAGGAAGGTTGATATGCCACTTTAAAATCAGCACAATGTTACGAGGCGAACGTGCATTATGTCATACATGACTGCCATCCCATGAATATCATGTTTGAACGTTTGATTTACCTCCATCGTCTACTCACGTCACGTGATACCAAATTTGCTATATGTCGAGCTAGCGAAACGTCCGCAAGCATGGTGTGAGCGTAGCATGTAGTCACGTTTTACATGACACGCACATCATGATTATCATGTTTGCGCGTGTCAGTTACATTCGTCGTCCATTCATGCCAGGCAATACCGAAATTGGTATATGTGAAGCTAGCGAAACACCGCGAGCGCGCTATGTGCGTAGTATGTCGTCATGTTTTACATGACACGCATGTCATGATTATCATGTTAGGACATGTCATTTACCTTCCTCGTCCGTTCTCGTCATGCAGTACCGAGTTTGGTATATGTGGAGCTGGCGAAACGGCCGCGAGCGCATCATGAGCGTGGCGTGTGGTCATGTTGTTACATGAGACGCATCTTATGATTATCATGTTTGCACGAGTCCCATACCTTCATCGTCCATTCACGTCCCGTCGTACCAAATTCCGTATATGCGAACTGAGCGAAATGGTGGCGAACGCATCATGAAAGACCCAATATATTCCGACGTAACGTTGACCCCCGCGCACGCTAGGCGCAGTAAGCTACGCTAGCAAAACGCGAGCCCTCTATAGTCTGACGCCAGGCGCGACCGGCGCGACCACCACAACCAACGTCCGTCGGCGCGGCCTGGCGGCAACCGGTGCGAAATGCGACATGCTGCATTTCGCGCCGATGACGTTACCCAGACAGCACCGCATCTGCCTCTCTTCGTGCCGGAGGGACGCCGTGTGCGCTCAAACGCGCATGCGTCAAAGCAACGCAGCTCGGTACGTGCCGGCTATAGTATACGGCAGGCAGATCGGCGCCTGGCGTGGCATCGCCGGCGTGACGCGACGAAACGAACGCCGGCGCGCATGCGTGCCGGGTCACGTCGAAGTGCATTGCTGCCTTGAGTGCAGCATGTAGTCATGTCGTTAAATAAGACGCATCTCATGATTATCATGAGATTCGTCTCAGATCACCAGCCACATACCTTCGTCCTCCATTCACGTCCTATAATACCCGATTCGGTATAGGTGAACCTAGCGAAATGGCCTCGAGCGCATCATGAGCGTGGCATGTAGTCATGCTCTTACATGTCACATAATTATCAATTTTGCCCAACTCATGTGCCTTCGTCATCAATTCACGTCCCGTAATATCAAATTTGGCATATCTGAACCTAGCGGATTGGCCGCCAGCGCATCATGAGCGCGGCATGTATTCATGTTGTTACATGACACGCAACTTTTCATTATCATGTTTGCACCAGTCACATACCTTCGTCAACCATTAACGTACTGTAATACCAAGTTTGGTATATGTGAGGCAAGCGAAACCGCCGCGAGCGCATCACGAGTGTGGCGTGTAGCCTTGTTGTTACATGACACGCATGTCACGATTATCATGTTAGGGTCTGTCGCTTGTGTTCGCCATGCAGTCATGTCATATTATACCAGTTTTGCAACATGTCATGTGAAGGGAACTAGCGCAAGAGCAGCAAGACCATGAAATGTAAATCATGACATTCAGGACATACCTGTCATGATTTTCATGTTATGCCTAGTCACTAATATTCGTCATACAGTCATGTTATGCCATACCGAATTTGGTACCAATTGCATAATCAAAATGGCCTGGTGAGGTAAAAGTAGTAGGCGGCTAGATAGATAGATATATATATAGATAGATAGATAGATAGATAGATAGATAGATAGATAGATAGATAGATAGACATGCTCAAAGTCACCAAGTTTACTAAGAAATGCTTCGCAGTCAATATCTCGCCATCACGGTTACCTGCTGTGGCTACAGTGTTCAACTCTTGACCGCAATAGTGCTGGTTCAATACCGGTTTTGACGGTCCAATTTCGATGTGTGCGGAAATGCTGAAAGTCCTTGTATTCTGTGCGATATGAGCGCACGTGAAAGAACCCGAGATAGTGGAAATTATCCCACCACTACGGCACCTCTCATAGCCAGTAAGATGAGCAGAGTGGGCTTGTGTTTGCCTATTTGAAGTGTAAGGCGCAACGACGACAACGGACAGACGGCGCTCCGTGCGTGTCCACTGTTAATATGTCCGTCGTTGTTATTGCGCCTTACACACTTCAAATTTCATTGCCAGAAGCACCTTGGGATGTTACCTGCCAGGAACTAATTAACCAACAAAAACTCTTTGTTGTGTCTCTATTGTGGGCTTCACATTTTGGATTCTGATTGATTGATATGTTGGGTTTAACGTCCCAAAACCACCATATGATTATGAGAGGGCTCCGGAAATTTCAACCACCTGGTCATTTGGGATTCCCATTTACCGAGACACACTGTCAGTACACCTTGTAAATACTTATATAGCGTTCACTATTGGAAGCAGACACGCTCTTATACTGGATCTGCGAGACCCGAGAAAAAAAAGAGGACATAACAAAAAAGAAAAAGAAAAAGAGCAGCGACTTTCTAAGTTATTCCTATGTAAAGGAAAAGACGAGAAAATTGCCGCCCGTAATTGTTTATCACTTGGATGACACCTCAACAGGTCGGCACAAGAAATGGGGTAGTGGGATTAAAAGTGGATAGGTAGGGAAAAGCAGAAGATGTAGAGGAGAAAAAAAAAAGAAGTCGCATTCGATCCGTCTTCACCAGCACGCGTCCAAACGATCACAACACACAACTCTTCAGCAGAAGACCGGGAGAAGTAGATCCGCCGAGTTACGAGAGGTGAGACGAGCCGTGTAGGCGCGTTTTGATGTCAAGTCCAGCCAAGATTCATATGGTAAAGGAGGCTTTCATCATGCACAAGCTTTTGCCCAGTCGTGTTTCAGCAGGTGGCATGCCACGGCGCGAACAGCAAAGACGGAAGCATTCTTGAATAGAACGGTTGAAGAGGGAAAAGGGGTGTTCGTGAATGGATGGTAGCTGCTCGCGACTGCTTCTACAGACCCACCGGAGAGCGTCTTTTGGTTCTTTGTTATACTACTGAAGAAATAAGCTTAACAACACCATTTTCGCGCGCAATTCAAATTTATTTATTTATTTCGTACTGCGAGCTTGTTTTAAAACCTATAGGCTGCAGTGAATAGCAGGAAAAAATTGTTCAAAGAATCTACCTAACGTCTGCAAGTTTATCTTTACCTTTTAGTAAAACATTTTTTTGTTAAGGTTGACAAGGCCATTGGCCGCATTTATTAATATTTTTTTTTTGCAGAAGAAAACTTCACACCCCATTTAACCAACACGATTGCCTTCGCTGCCGCGCTTGTAGATTGCATATGAAATCAAATGCGAGATAAAAATAAGGCACCGATAGTACCACTGGAATGATAACGTAATATTGATAATAGTATACAACGTCCCCCTCTCTTTAAAAATCTCTTGGGTATGATGTGCCAAAACTACACCGAAAATAATTTTCCCGAAATAAAGGCTCTGTAGATTTGGCCCTATATAGGAGGCTAATTTGAACATCGCGCAAAGCGCCCAAACAACATTATTGATACAAGAACGAAATTTCTCGTTGTTAGTGCACAGGATAAAACAACATGACTCTATAGAAGAAGGACGCCAAAGGAAGAAATGCCACCAGACAATCGCTTGTCCTGTGGCATTCCGTCGTTTTCTGCACTTGTTGTAGTCGTACTCTTCTAGTCATGCTCTGAACAAGAACCAGTCATTTCTCGTCAAGTTGTCAGTAATGAAAAATTGTTGTCAATAACGCTACGTAAACGGGAGTCCGAAAACTACTTATTTAAATTGAGATATTCTAGTTTATCGCGACACAATATTTCGTATTACTCGTTCTATGGTGTTACGAAAAACGGTGGTTAAGTAACGATTATTGCACGTTGTATACGTTAAAGCTTGCAGACACGTTTGGGTCTCATACGCGAATCGTGGGAACAGTTGAAGGCCCGCGCGAAGGGAGGGAAGTTTCTGAGCGCTCCGTTGACGAGTGTGGGCGCCGGAGAGCGGAGGCCCGACTGGACCCGCTGCTGAAGGTAGTCCTCGTCGTAGGCCTCGCAACGGTCCAGCGCGAATTCGTAGAAGAACAGTTTGTCCGTGGCGTAAGTCGCGTTGGCCCCCTTGCTGCCGCGCAGCTGAAACCTGCGCGGGTAAAATGAAGCGGAGCAGGTGCAAAGCAGATCTAGATTATAGATGCGCAATTTCCGGAGGTATATATTGGACAATAAAAAAAAAAACACCTCTTCTTTAACGTTTTTTTCGAAAAATTCTGGAAAAAATAGAAAATAAAATTTATCTTTAGCATATGGCAATGGTTTATTACGACATGGCAGTAGTGCAAGGCCAAGTGTCAAAAGAAGTCTTTCATTACGTGAATGACAGAAACGAAATGTTTTCTCTCTTTTCACAAAAGAATATGACCGTTAATAGATCGAAGGCATAGGCTATAAACATCACCGCGAACTCATTCAGCTCTTTGTGAATGGTTGCGGCTTCATAGATTTCTTACGGCACTTAGAACAAAGAGTGCAGAAATCTCAGTTTTGTCGTGGCTTCGACTATGGGAACACTACTCAAGGTGGTGAAAATAAGGTGTTAAAACTAATTTTCAGAGTCAGTATCACTGGCTTCATCTGTAGGTTTCTTCATCATGTTAAGATGTCGCATTGGGAAAAGCGTATAGCTGCTGTTGCAGTGCTTACAGACAGCGAGCCCCTGTTTCCCGCCAAAAATCTCCCCGGCCACGAAGTGCATCCACACGTGCATCCATTGCAGAACCTCCTTGTACATGGCTTCATAGGCGGACTATGGCCACAGGTCATAGAAGTGTACCAAACTTAAGCAATAACGGGCACCAAAACATCAGAAACCACTCCAACTGACCACACTCGAGCGACAAAGCTAAGCTGCTAAGCTTAGCTTTGTCGCTCCAGCGTGCTTAAACAAAAATGCACCTTGCATCGCACTTGCCTCCGATGCTGCTTATTTTGCTGGTTACATGGCAGGGGTGTAGACAAAAATTTTTTTCGGGTGAAGGAGGAGGGAATGAGGCGCAATAATACTTTGTGTATGGTTGTGCGAGCGTTTCTATGAGTACGTGTACACGCCATCGTAATTAAAAATTGGTGAGGAGGAAAATGAGCACCCCCCAGGATATGCATATGCTACGTGGAAATCAGATCGGGACGAAAGATGAGCGCTCTCTACTTAGTTGTCTCTTCAGCTGTGTACGGCGATTATTGAAACATGTCCTTTTGTAAAATAAGTGTGGATAAACAGTGCACGCACCGCTTGTTGCCTCTTGCTGCTTGCTGCCGGAATACTCTTAGCGCCACCTGCAGGGCGAGTAGGTCGATTACGTCCTCCCGGGAGGCCGCGTCGCTAGAAGTGCTGGTGCCGTACTGGTGCTGCTGCCGCCTCAGGCAGTCGTCCAGGAGGTCAATGCGCAGGCGCAGCGAAGAGGAGGAACGGCGGGATTTGATCTCCGACGAGGTCATCTGGTCGAGGCGGGCCGTCAAGAGCCGAGCCAAGTCGACGCCCAACCTCGGCGAGTGGTGTACGAAGAAGGAAGGCCCGTCGAACCTGAATAGGCATTTAGTGCGCAGTTCTTCAGTCCTACAATGATATGCTCGGCTGTGCCGAATCCAAGACGGTATGGAGAGCTGAAATAGTGGCCACTAAGCTATGTATGCATCTTCTCGAATGAGCGACCTGTGAGGAGATGGTCGGGTTTATGAGAACACATATAAACTAAGGTTACCAACCATACCGGATAATGTGGGATTATCCCGACATTTCACTCAGCGTCCCGAGTCACGCGGTGTCCCTGTCGGGACAGTTTTCTGTCCCGGATTTTTCAAAGACCATCCAGTTGGAAACTTTTGCGTCAACCGACACACGCCTAACAACGTGTGTCACGCTACGAAACACGAAGTTCGCACGAATCCCATTCACGAAGTGATGTTGCGGTGGCTGCGAGAGGGGGGCGGATCACCGTCGAGAGCAGTCGCACCTCACTTCGGCTCCGCCAATTTTCGGCCCTCGCGTCGGTCCTTTCGACCCTATCCGGATAATTTCTTCACGGGTGGCTGGAGCACATTGTCTGGATTTCTTCGACACCCACTTTATTGCGAAACTCGCCCGGGTTGGCCCGGGAGAGCTTTCGAAAGCCTTCGACCACGCCGTGCACCGACCTAGGCCTCTTAGGCCTAGCTCGAGTGCGGCCGCCTGCACATCAGCTGACAGACGGAGCGACCGCCCGGCCGCCCGCCGCTGCCTCGTCGCCCATCTCCTAGCTGTCCACCGCTATGGAGTATATTGTCGAAGGACAGGACGTGTCCCCCGAGGAACTCTCGGACGAATCCTGGCAGTCGCCAGGCCTCCGCGCCCAAGAGCAACGCCGCGCAGCCTTGCGCCTTGCCACCGCCGCAACTAAGCCCACCACCACGCCGGCTTCTCTGCGCTCGTCGAAGCGGGTAAATACATCGCCTCCGCAGCACCGCCGCCGCGCTCCGCTCCCTCGTCTCCCGGCGGACACGATTCACATCGTCGGCCGCCCAAAAAGCCCCGTAGAACTCACCAAGCTACAGCCTTGGCACTTGTACACCGCCTTGCTGCAAGCAGCGTTCCTGCAAGACCTCCCGCCCGCATCTCGCGACACGGTGCGGATCCACCCCGTCAACAACACTTTTACGCTCAGCGTCGCGGACTCGGCTCGTGCACAAGCATACCTCCGCATCACCTCCCTCACGGTTTCCGGCAACACTTTCACCGTCCACCTTTACGCCCCACCGCCAGACGATGCCCTCAGGGGCATACTGTACCACGCCTTCGACGACTTCACGGACCAAGCCATCCTTGAAGACCTTCAGGCAAGCAATCCTACCCTCTCTGTTGTGGGCGGCCGCCGCATGGGCAAGGCCCCTCACATCTTGGTCACCCTCATGGAGCCGAAACTACCGCGGTGGATCTTCTACCACGGTGTCCAGCTTCGCCTCCTTCCGTTCCGCAACAAGGTGGAAGCCTGCTACAATTGCCGCTCGACCGGCCACCGGACCGACGTGTGCCCCAAGCCGCGGCAGGAGCGGTGCCATCGGTGCGGCGCTGCTCACCCCACACCGCCCGAAGGATCGCCACCCACTTGCAACCCCCGCTGCATCGTCTGCAATGGGAATCACTCCACGTACAGTTCCAACTGTAAACACCGCTACGTGCAGCGCCCTCAACGCCAGAAGGCCCCGGCACCTGACACACACCCCCCGCCACAACAGCCTGTTCCGCCCGCAGCGGTAGTGCGCTCTTCCCAGCAAGCAGCAAGTGGTCCCTCACCAGCTCCACCGCCCAAGTCGGTTACTGCCTCTCCGCCCCCCCGTACCAGCGGTGCCTAAACCCACATCACAGCCCATGAATTCGACATGGCCCCGCGGCGCCCCCGGCTTGCCCTCGGAGCCGCAGGTTGTTGCACTGCAGCAAGAAAACGCCTCCCTCCGACAGCAGGTCACTGCACAAAGCGCTCAAATTGCAGCTCAGAAGACCCAAATTGATTCCCTCCAAGCGAAACTGCAAGCTCTTGAAGAGAAGCTGGAATCAGCCATCACAGTGAAATCCTCTCTGCCCTCTACCATTTGCTCCTCCTCCGACATGGACGTTCAGACTCCCGAAGGATGCACTGGCAAGCGCCGTCGACCCAACACTCCCCTTGAATCTCTTCACTTTTCTGAAGAGGTCCAGGTATCCATCAAGACGGCCTTGGTGGATCTTGAAGAGCGGTTGGATAGCCGCTTCAACTCCGTCCACCAGCTTCTCACTGCACAGCACGAAGCTCTAAATTCCCTGCGCACAGACTTCGCCGCCTACCCCCCCGCCACGTCCTTCCAATCTCTACAGTCAACAGTTGATAGCCTACAAACTGCCATGCTTGGAAGCATCCGAGCAAAGCTACCCCTCCATGCCCGCACCACCACCTCCTCCGGCGCCGCCCGAACCTCGCAAACACCGGTCGAGGCAACATCTTCCGCTGTTAAAAATGGCTGACCGATCCATCGTCACCATTTGGCAGTGGAACTGCCGTGGTTTTCGTCCCAAGCGTAACCACCTCCTTCTCCACCTACAACAACTAGACCCCTCGGACGCGCCTGATATCATCGTACTACAGGAAACTCACGCCGACGTCTCCCTCTCGGGTTACGTCGCCTACAACCAAGTAACTCACCATCCTCTGCCCCATCCCGTGACGGCCGTCCTCACCCGGCGGACGCTCGCTGTCAATCGACACGATCTACCCTTCCCTGCAGTCCATCACGTCTTTCTCGAGACACTACCTCAGCAACGTGAACAGCCCTCTCTGTTTATTCTCAACGTGTACAACCCCCCTCGCTCCACTGAAGACGCGTCTCTCCTAGCCTTGCTCCGTGCCGCTGCAGCGAAAGCAGCCAAATCACCCCTTCTTATTCTCGGCGACTTCAACGTCAAGCATCCGGACTGGGGTTACTCGAAGGCAGATGGCCCCGGAAGGAGGCTGTGGCAGCTCGCTCACGATCTCAACCTCTCCCTGCTCACCGACCCCACGCAACCAACGCGCATCGGCAACAGTGTGTGCCGCGATACCACCCCGGACCTCAGCTTCTGCCGCAGCGTGCCCGACGCGCGCTGGTATAACACGCATCAGTCCCTCGGCAGTGACCACTATGTCCTCACCATTCAAGTTCTCACCTCCCCCAGCAAGCCGCGCCCACACACGGCCCGCTATACAGACTGGGACGCTTTCCGAGAACGCCGGTTGCACTCCGCCACTTCCAACATCGAGGACCTCTCGACGTGGACCGACCAGCTGCTAGAGGACCTCGACGCAGTCACCGCCTCGATCCCCACCACGAAGGACTATCCGGCAACTGACGCCCGTCTTGCCCACCTGTGGGCCGCCCGCACCGGCCTTTGCAACCGTTGGCAGAAGCAACGTCACAACCGTCGCTTACGCCGCCGCATTGCGCACCTCGATCGTACGATCGAGCAACACACCACCGCGCTCGCCCGCCAACAGTGGGAGCAGCTCTGCTCGGGTCTCTCTGGTCAGTTGGGCTGCAGACAGTCCTGGCATCTCCTCCGCCACCTCCTCGACCCTGCTTCTGCCAAGTTGGTCGCTCGGCAGCAGTTACAACGAGTGGTCCGGGCTTACCCCGGCGACACTCCGTCGCTGATGGCAGACCTGTCCGCCAAATACCTTCAGCTTCTGCCTCCTGGCACACCTCCTCCCCCTCTCGCGTCCTACTCTGGGGCCCCCAACCCAGTACTGGACGCCGATATCACGGAAGCGGAGGTCTACGCGGCATTACAGAAGCTCCGCACCACTTCCGCCCCCGGCCCAGATCGCATCCCCAACAAGCTCCTCCGAAACCTCGACGCCCCTTCGGCTGCTACCCTCACTTCGTTCCTCAACGAGTGCTGGCGCTCCGGCAACCTCCCCCAATCATGGAAACACGCTCGCGTGGCTTTCATCCCCAAGCCGGGCAAGAAACTCACAATCGAGAATCTCAGGCCCATTTCACTCACCTCGTGCGTCGGCAAGCTTCTAGAACATGTCGTTCTCGCTCGCTTGCAAACGTACACGGACGCACACCATCTCCTTCCCCACACCATGCTTGGTTTCCGCCCCCACCTATCCACGCAAGATGTCCTCTTACAACTCCACCATGATCTCCTCGACCCACCCACATTTTCAGACACAAAGGCTCTCCTTAGCCTGGACCTTCACAAGGCGTTCGACCACGTCTCCCATTCGGCTATCCTTGCCGAACTCGCAGCCCTCAATCCCGGCACCCGCACCTACAACTACATTCGCGCGTTCCTCACCGCCCGCACGGCCGAAATCATCATAGGGGACCTCCCGTCTCCCACGTACGAGCTTGGCCCTCGTGGCACCCCTCAGGGCGCCGTCTTGTCGCCTTTTCTATTCAATCTTGTCCTCCGCTCGCTTCCTGGCAAGCTGGACCGTATCCCCGGTCTTAAACACACCCTGTACGCGGACGATATTGCTCTCTGGGTCACGTCGGGCTCTGACGGCCATATCGAGCAGACGTTGCAACGCGCAACCGACGTCGTCACGTCCCACGTGCACGCGGCCGGTCTTACTTGCTCAGCGGCCAAATCGGCCCTTCTTCTCATGCGGCCTCCCGACCGGCGTCGCTACAAAACTCCCCACCCCACCATCACGGTTCATGCCAACTCTACTCCTGTCCCCGTCGTTTCGCATCTCCGCGTGCTCGGGCTGATCCTACAGTCCAACCGCCATAATACACACACCATAGACAAGCTCTCGCTCTCGGTGCAGCAGACCGCACGTATGCTCGCCCGTGTCCGTGCGCGGCGTGAGGGCATGCGAGAACACGATCTACTTCGCCTTGTCGACGCTTTCGTCGTTTCCCGCCTCACGTACGGCCTTCCTTATACACGTCTCCTAAAATCGGAACGCGATAAAATTGACGTCCTCATCCGCCGGGCATACAAGACTGCCCTCGGCCTTCCCCCCAACACGTCCACCGATCGTCTTCTCCGTTTGGGTGTACACAACACGCTCGACGAGTTGA